AAAACACATTTTACAAAATATTTATAAAAAATACACAAATGTAATCAATACAACTAAATACAATTTTATATATTTCAAATTTAATTTTATTCAATATTTTTTATTAATTTAACAAATATTAATAATATTTCTGAAAATTACATAGAGATTATTAGAAAAATATATATTTATAATAATTAAGAATAAATATCTTACGAACTAGTTTGACAAATTATTATTAATATTAATATTAATGCAGCCTTATAAAAATACAAATATCTCAGTTAAGTATACATATAATAAAAAAAAAAACAATGCAATAAAATAGTGATATCTACATAAGTGGCAACTTAAGAAAGTTAATAAAAACATATTTATATTAANAAATTAAAATCCTACGAAGACTATATAATATGTATATTTGTAATATTATACAAAGTTAAATAACAAAATAAATAATAATGATAGTAGTCATAAATGTCAATAAAACACTAATGAAACTAATTTTTTGATAAAAATTCATCTAGGGTTGAGTNTCAATAAAACACTAATGAAACTAATTTTTTGATAAAAATTCATCTAGGGTTGATTGGACTTTTCCGTCTTCGGCTAACTTCATTATCATATTTTCGTAGGATTTATGTTGCTCGAATACGTCAAAATCGCCTCTTTGCTGAATCCCTCTGCGTAGAATTTGAAGCGCTTCTAGCATTTGTTTAGTTGATGGTGGTTTTTCATCAGGTTCATCTTCATCACTATCACCAGCCACATTCTCTTTTGGCCGTTTTGACTGTATTTCATCACATATATCTTCCTCGGTAACGAGTTCGGTAGTTTGGACTTCTTCGTCTATATTTATCCATTCATTATAAAGTTCAGTTGTTAGGTCAGCGGGTCTTTCAACAACAGCTTCAACTTCTTTTGGACTGATAATGAAACCACCTTGTCGGAAACAATTGCGTATTGTGATTTTAATTGACATTAAAGACTGCTTCGTTTATCGTGAAAAGGTAATTATTTTATCTCCACGATAAAAGCAATTTTACTAGGACTTAACACATTATTTTTATTTATCTAATTTTCAAATGACCCTATTAACCGGTGTGTGAGTCGAATATACGAATTTTTTGCTGTGTGTTAGTATATGTGTAAATAGGGACTAGGCGTTTTGAGTCTAATAAGCGAATGAGTCAATTAACCGTGAGTCCAATAAGCGGCGTCCACTGTAGTAAGGAGCGCAGCAATTTATTTTAGTGGTACGGAATAGAAATAGTGGTGATTTCAGCACTGTTATTTCCCAATAGAAATAAATAGCTTCTAATCAAAACGATTAACAGCAGTGACTGCTAGTTTTATTCGTCAATATTATTTTACTTTTCTGACCACATTATGAACTGCCACAAATTTCTAAGTCAGATTTAACGTTTTTTTTTTTTAATTAAATTGTCTATTAGAACGACTATTATTATTTATTAACTATGTCAAACTATAACGATACATTCGCCATGCTGGCACAAATACTATTATACATTTTTAAATATTTTCCTAGAACACTCGATAACTCCCAAAAATCTAATTTTCGTATAATTTTTCTTTTATCACCTTAAAGTAGATTGTATTAACTTTAATATTATGTAGATTTAAAGAAGACAGTTTTTTTGAAACATTATCAATAATTGAAAAGAAAAAAAATTGTTTGATGATTTTTATCCCTTCCAAGTACTTTGGCCAATGATAGGATTTTCTAAAAACGTATTTTAAAATTTAGAAAAACATTTTATATAACTGAAATTTTTTTGAGATTAATATATTATTCAAATAAATATGTTTTGTGTTTTTTAATATCAATAACTGCTGTTTTTTCCTTCTACTTTAAATAGCTTAACAATAGCTTAAGATGATGTTACTAAAATAAATAACATTTTATCATCACTAATTTATTTATAAATTAAATTCGAAAATTTTGATATCAACGGTCAACGACGTCAGGCCTCCATGTTTACGAACGTTCGGGTGGCTACTCAATTATGTTTCCTTCCGCCATCTTAGTATATGCCCGCCAATATACGCCGTGCTGTTCAACATCAAGTGTTTGCTGTCTTGTTGTTGATTATGTAACACGTTTTAATGCACGTTTGTCTACCTTGGCTGGTACCGCTTCAACAATATCAAAAATTTATATTATTATTCTTATAAATTGATTTTATTCTAATTCTAATCTGATTTATTTTATTGTTTTTAATGAATTTTTTTATAGCAGACTTATTGGTCGATATTTTTCTTTATACAAATTTTTTATTTCTACTTTTTAGTGTATATTATAATATCAACATATAACTTCCCAGTCTAACTGTCAAGTTTTCATATAAATGAAAATTGGTTCAGAATACTTGTTGCCCAGTCAATGTTTGTGATTGCTTTTGTTTTATGATTATTAGTTTCATAATTCTTCTAAGTATAATTATGAATTTAAATATTAAGTCTTAATATTTAAATTCATTTATGTGTAGTGTTATAATTACTATTTGAAAATGTGCTATACTTGATTGGAGAGTGACACCAAAATTGAACAGTTAAAATTTTTTAATATTTTGTTGCAAGATTCCTGAAGTTAATAATAATTTGTTCTTTGTAAAATTCTTTTAGCTTCGATGCGAAGCTGAGAAGGTATTGGTTTTACTAAGATGTGTTTTTTTTTTTTTTTTTTTTTTTT